AAAACAGAACCAAAATCAACCAAAGAAACTGAGAGCTCAATAGCTTCCAATTTTCTTGTATTTTCCCACTTACCAATTTATCATTTTCATTGGGCATTTCAAATACACATCTCAATTTGGAGTCCATTAATTCATCAGGTTTTGCCTCTTTCCACTAAAAATAAACAACACCAAACATGAGACATAGGAAGTATGATCATACAAATAGGTTTCACCGAAAGGAACAAATAGAAAATGAGTGTGACTGGTTGGCTCAGCTGGAATACACTGCTGCACTCCATGTTGATCACCTTGCCATTGTTATCTGCTGATGTCACAAAACTTTTATGTAATTCTAGAGCTACTATCACCACCCATTAAAATCGCACTGACATCACTAGCAATCACAGGACTTTCTTCTTAGTAGTAGCATTTCTAAATTGTTTCTAAAAAAACTATTTCAAAATTTTCATTCTTGAAATTAAGCCAGGATTATCTACAATCAACAGACTTATTGATTTTTTTTTAAATCTAAACTTAATTTTAAATTTCTAAAAATTAAGTTGCTCTATTGAGTACTAAACAAAATCAACAGTTTAAACTACATTCCCCAAAATAAATTCTGTTCAACATCTATACTTACCACAGCTTCCATATCTGAAGTGTTTGGTGGAGCAAAAATTGTCTGTACCATAAACTTGTGTTTACTCTTTTCATTCGGATCATAGTCAAATGGCTGTAGCATTACTAAATAAGAAAAGATACATTGTCTTCTTCATTTGTTTGCATATGATTCCTATACCTCATTGACTAATATGCAAATTTCAAGACAACCAAGAAAGGTTCAAGAAATCAAACACTAGATTATTTACATTATGGATCCAGAATCAACTTTATAGATTCTAATTATTTTTAATTTGCCCACCTTTCTGATATTACTAAGTCCTTTACAACCCACAAAATAACAAATGGCTATTAAAAAATAAACATGAATCTATGACTGCCCCTTCTATACTTACTTTGTAAAGATTTTCAAAACTTCACCTACAGTAACTACTATAAAGCCTGTAAGCTCAGATTAAATCATTTTTATTGTAATAAAACTAGTTATAATGTGAATTTAGGCTTCATTTTAGTATTTCATGATACTTTAAAATTAGACAACTGGGGTATCTAAAGGAGAAATACTTGATAAAAAAAA